GCTGCCCCTGGGGACCTGCGGCCGGGCCGAGCCTGGAGGGGCACCGCGGTGGACGTGGCACCCCGGGACCTGGGCCGAGCTGGTGTGCGGGCCGGGCAGCCCGAAAGTTAATCAGGGGTTCACGCTTAGGCTTCCGGGCGTCCGGCCAGACGCACAGGCTCTTCCCAAAGCCCAGCAAAGAATCCAAGAGCCAAGAAGAGGGTGGCCAGGGAGCCTGTGCTCTCCACGGGAGACAGAAACAAAGCCCTTTGCAGGAGGCTGTTCTTCCAGTGAACCCTCTTTGCATGTCACTCTAGGACAGAATTTGGACTTTCGAAACAGCCTGCGTTCTAACTTTACCTGGGTCTTATTTTATTTTACTTTATGTATTTACTTTTTAAATGTACCAGACAGGAACGGAGCAAGCGAGCAAGGGGAAGAGAGAGAGAGAGAGGTTAAGGACTCCAACCCTGGTCGGCCATGTGGGAGTCCAGCGCCCTTAACCACCATGCCCATGCCATCTGCCTGCCGCTGGGTCCACTACTTCTAAGCTGCGAACTTTGGTCAAGTTACTTAACCTCTCTATGCCTCAGTTTTCCCATCTGTTATATGTGGAAATAAGCCCCGCTTAATAAGGCTGTGTGAGATGTTTCTGACAGAGAACACTTGCAACACACTTAGAAAAGTGCCTTGACTTGTGATACACACCTACAAACATAAGGTAGTATTTTATACCTAACAGCCCCATCCACCCAACTGCTCTTTCATTCATTCAGCTTTATGGGACACACAGAACTGCTGGGTAGATGTGGCCACAGGTGACCAAGGAGAATGGGACAGTCCTGCTCTCGTGGAAGTTGCAGGCCAGTGAGGACAAAACACCTCAGAAATGAGAAGTGCAGAGTATATAAGGAGCATATGTACAGCCCTAACTCTGTTATTAGGAGAGAAAAAGAAGAAAGAAAAATGGCTTAGGTCAGGTCAGGTCCCAGGAAGGCTTCCTGGAGGAAATATAAACTAGGTAGAATGGGAACTTGCAGAAGGAGGTATCAGAGGAAGACAGAAGGGAGACTAAGAAGAAAGTGTTGGGACCAGCAGTTAACGTAATGGCTATGTCGCTGGACTACCGTGTAGTCGACTGCAGTTTGAGTCCCGGACCCAGTGGCTTAAAACTCACGCCGGGCCCATGTGTGTGCTTGCCCAAGATCCTGAGAGGAGAATGGAAGAGAAGGGATTGTGGTACGGCCATCCCCCCTGGGCAGTGATTTCTTGCTTTTTGTCTCTCTGTCTCTGTCTGTCTGGCGAGCGCACGGGTGCTATAGCAAAAAAAAAAAAAAAAAAAAAAAACAGGGAAGAAAGAAAGAGA